TTGTATTACTTGCAAGATGCACTCATAACTAATCTCATATTAGAACTATCACAAAAAACTCGAAAAAATTGCCAAAAGGCGGTGCGTGCGAAGACTTGAATCACGAAAAATTTGCCATAAACAGACGGTGCGTTGGAGTCGTACCCGTGTCTGTTGAGTAGGGAGTAATACTGGACGAATCCGATGTCCAGCAGGAAGTTCCTCAGCGCCTGGCGGTCCTTCGCGGGCGTGTGGGCGGGCGAGGTGAGGACCGCGGGCGCGACGCAGCTCATGTCGTTGCCGCCCGCGGTCTTGATCATGGAGGCCGGCCTGCTCCTGACGCGGGCGAGGAGGGAGTCCCTGATCCTCCGCAGCTGCGCCGAGTGCTTCCTCGAGACGGCCAGCTGCTGCAGGTTCAGGTACTGCTGCAGGAGCTCGATCTCCTCCTCGCCTCCCCCCGCCTCGCCGCCCCAGTAGTGCTGCAGCGAGGAGCAGCCTCCTCCCCCCGCCGGGCCTCCTCCCCCGGGGGACTGGGGGCGCCGCCGCTTCCCCAGGGTGTCGCACGGGGTGATGAGGCCGGGGCTCGAGAGGCGCGCGCGGGGGGGGGAGGGTGCCGCAGGGTGTCGGGGGTCGACCCGCCCTTCGTCGTCGCGGGGGACGAGGACGACGAGGACGAGGGGGAGGGGGACGGGGGGTGGTGCAGGAGGCGGTGCTTGGCCTCCTTCACTTTCCTGCGGAGGGCGTCGAGGGGCATGGCCGGGGGGGCGAGGCCCTTGTGCAAGCGGTACCTGGGGGCGGAGGAGGAGTTAGCGCTGCGCAGGGCTGTGGTAGACTGTGCAAGGAAGGGAGAGAGAGAGAGAGACAGACAGACAGATAGAGAGAAAAATACAGAGAAAGAGAGACAGACAAGCAAAGAGCGACAGAGAGAGATAGAGACAGACGAACACAGAGAAAGAAAAAACAAAGACGGAGAGAGAGAAAGAAAAAAAAAAAAGGAAAGAGAGAGGCTGGGGAGATATACAAGCACAGACAGTTTAATTAAATCATGAATATACCGTCTTCTTATCGTTAATTTATGAGTTCCATCTGATAAGTAAATGAATGGATCTGCTAGTGACATGTACTACTAGATACTCTTATCTTATGGTCTCAAACACTACAAAAGAGTGTAGAATCTGTACATAGATGAAATGATTACAAACTACAATGAAATAATATAATCACGCAATAATTTTCATCTAAACTAATAGATACACACCCACAACCACACCCACACACACACACACGCACGCACACACACATACACACACATACACACACACGCAAACAAATGTATACACACACGCACACACACATATATGTCTGTGTCTATATATATCTTTAAGCCTATATATCTGCTAACCATCCATATCCATAATATCTAATCCCTCTTTATCCACCACAGAATCTCGTTCCACATACCCCTCCCCCCTCCCCTCCCCCACGCTGCAATGTCCACGTCCTCCCAAAAAAAAAAAAAAGATTTTCCACCGAAGACAAAACACAAGACGAGTGAAAACCCCCTTTCTATCAGCATCCACAAACACGCGTCCTTTATAAGGCATCAACAGCTGAGTGGGTCTAAGTGAAATCCTCTCGAGAACAGCATTAAACATCGCCACGTACTCTTTTGCTTTTGATGTATTTCATAACAGAGAGGGAAGGGAGGCTTGGCTTGCGCTTTAGCTCACGTCTCTGTATAGAGCTTGGGAGAAGAGCTGGTCACGTGATCTTGTTCTGTGTTATTTTGTGTTACATTATACGCTCTCTATCTGTGTTTGCATTCGTAAGTGTGATAGTGTCTGTTCAATATTTGTGTTTTTCTACTTGGGTTTTCTTTATTTTTTTATTATTTTGCGTACGTGTGTGTTTTGATAGTGGTTGTTAATCTTACTTTTTTTATGGGTCTAATCTGAAATTGGCGTTGAGTTTGGTGTGATTGCAAAGTGCATTTTAGCTTGCGTACAGATTTTGGCATCTCTGCTTCTCTAGTTACACGAATACAGTCTGCCTCCCACCCTATTCTTATCCTCCTCTTGATTATTTCTTTTATTCGCACCACGCTATGTCCAACAGAAGGCGCCACACCCACCGCCCACCCCCTCTCCCCCCCCCTTCTCCTCCTCTCCCTCCCTCTCCCCTTCTCTCCCCTTCTCTCCCTCCTTTCCCTCCTCTCCCCTCTTCCCCCCTCCCCCCCTTCTCCCCTTCTCTTCCCTCCTCTCCTCCCTCTCCCTTCTTCCCCCCTCCTCTCCTCCATGTACCCCAAGCATTGGCACACTCCCCCCCCCTCAGCCCCAGCCTTGGCACCGCCCGCCCCTTCCTGTTGGCACGCGGCGAGACCCACCTGCTGGCGCGCCCCACAAGCGAGTAGAGCCGCGTCTGGAGCCTCGCCAGGAGCGGCGCGTCCTCGAAGCACTCGGCGACGGCGTCGGGAAGGTCAGCCTCGCTCCTGTAGCCGACGCCCCACGCGGAGACAGGTCGC